AACCTGAAAAGAGCTAGGGATACATATTTGTCTGGTTATTTAACTGATACTATGCAAGAAAATCCTAAGGCCTTTTGGTCCTATATTAAGAGATTACGACAAGACAACCCGGGCGTTGAAGATTTTAAAATGGATAATGAACTCATTAGCGATGCCGGTTTAAAGTCTGAGGTACTTAGTAAACAATTTGCTAGTGTTTTCACGACAGAAAATGTCGAGAATATACCAACTCCAGGAAGTAACTTCACGCCTGCCATTGGTAATATTGTGATCACGGTGAAAGGAGTCGAGAAACAACTAGCATCCTTAGATGCAAAAAAAGCAAGTGGACCGGATGGAATTCCACCATGGTTTCTAAAAGAAAATGCAAGTCAAATAGCACCGATTCTGACAGATATCTACCAGGAATCAGTTAGTAGCGGTAGCTTACCTGGCAAATGGAAAGAAGCCAATGTATGTGCGGTATTTAAAAAAGGGAAAAAGTGTGACCCGGGAAACTATCGGCCGATATCTTTAACCTGCATCGCTAGTAAGGTTTTAGAACACATTGTGCATAGCCACTTAATGAAGCATCTCGAAAGGCATAGCATTCTCATTGATAATCAGCACGGCTTCCGGGCTAAACGATCCACAGAAACTCAACTGATATGCACTACTCATGATATTACTAATGCTATTCAACAAAACAAACAAGTAAATTTGGCTATTTTAGACTTCTCAAAAGCTTTTGATAAAGTCCCTCATCAGAGATTATTGACGAAGTTGGAGTACTATGGGATCCGGGGTCCACTCCAAGAATGGTTTAAGTCGTTTCTTATAGATCGAAGTCAAGTTGTGGTATGTGATGGCGCGACATCAACTCCTATTACAGTTACTTCTGGCGTACCGCAGGGCACAGTTCTTGGTCCTGTTTTGTTTCTACTGTATATAAACGACTTGGCTGAAGAATTGAAATCTACTGTAAGACTGTTTGCCGATGATGCCCTGCTGTACTGTTTTATTGAAAGTGATGTAGATGCAGATTCTCTCCAGGCTGATTTGTGTAAATTAGAGGAGTGGCAAGACCGCTGGCAAATGGAGTTTAATTCGACCAAGTGTAAAGTGATGTGCATTACAACTAAAAAGAATATCATAAAGAAACAGTATATGTTCTGTGGCCAAATACTGGAAGAAGTCGAAAACCATCCATATCTCGGGGTGATGTTTGATAATAAAATGAAATGGTCATCTCATATATCTAACACCACTCGGAAGGCAAATGTCATATTACATGTTATCAAGCGGAACCTATGGAATTGTCCAAGAGATGTCAAGGAAGTTGCTTATAAAAGTCTTGTAAGACCAACGCTTGAATATGCGTCTACAGCATGGGACCCTTACTATAAGAAAGATGTTGCTGCTGTTGAAAGAGTTCAGAGATCAGCGGCACGATTCTGTTTAAAAAATTACGATCGGACAGCTAGTGTATCAGCCATGACGAAAGAGCTGGATTGGGATACATTGGAAACAAGAAGGAAACGTACGCGCCTATGTATGATGTACAAGTTAAGTCGTGGTCTACTTAACTTGAACGCGGAAAACGTGCTGGTTCCAAGTCAAGAAACAAGAACACGAAATAGTCATACGTTTAAATATAGAGTACCTCGAGCTACGAAGGACATTTTTAAATATTCTTTCTATCCTAGAACGCTAACTGAGTGGAACAGTCTTCCTAAGGAATTACTTTTATCAGAAACTCTAGATACTTTTAAGAGTGAACTCAAGAATTTTATTAAGTAATATTTTATTATTGATTGGTTGAGATAGTTGTAGTTAGGTTTTTTGAATTTGTATTTTGTATTGTTATAGTTGGTGCGATAATCGTCCGATTTTTACCGACTTAATAAAATGTAGATGTAGACTTCGACGGTATGTAAATTAACAGCGTTTGACTTGCAAGACGTCAAAAACGGACGATTTCAACGCGCTGCCGTTTATCGCGTATTCATTTGCCCAAAGAAGTATTTACGTCAATTGAAAGCTTGTTTATTAAAGAGCCAACTAGTAGAAGCATGATCGATTTGGAGCTTTATCCCATGGTGAAAATCGGTTTTGTTAAGAGGGTATCGTAAATGAGGTAAGATAGTGTACTCCAAAACTACGATTATTTCTATTCCTAAAAGTAACTCAGATTTCCTGTAAGTCACGTACCCGGTCCTTTGAATAACCGAAACCAAGATTTTTTTGGGTTTTAGATCGATTAGAAACGGTTGTCGTCGTGAAATTTGTCGGTAAAATCAGCGCATATTTTCCCAGACAAAATGGCGATTTAGGGTGGTCGTGTTAAGACGGCATTTTCTCAAAGTTAAAAAAGCATTTGACCTAAAAAAATATATGGTGCATTTTCCGATATAATAAGGTATATCTGGGCAAAATTTGAGCAAAATCGATTTTTCAGTCGTGGCCGCCTTATGTTTGATTTTTGTGGACATCTATGGTGGCCCAGGCGTGCCATAGAAAATTTTGATATCTTTTTATTTTTTTAAATATATATTTTTAAAAATATTTTTATTTTAGTTTTTTTCCAAACAAAATTTATTTCTAAACTTTGTTTTTTTTTAATTCATAAAATATTTTAATGCAAAATATTTTATACCCTTGGCCCAGGTGTGCCATTTAAAAAAAAAAAAAAACACGTTGTGGCCCAGGCGTGCCAACGGCCCATGCATGCCAATTACTGCTGTCCATATAATTTTGAGATCGCAGGCTCGCAGGGCACCGTAAACAAAATGGCTGATCAGGGATGGCAAGAAGACGTTGAGCTTAAAAACGACTTACAAAAATATGTTGAAAGTAACTTACAAAGAAAAGAAATTTTAGATTTTGTAAAGGAAAAGTATCCACTATATGCTTGGAGTCTGCTAACTCTTTGCCGTCGATTAAAACACTTTGGCATTTCATACATAGACTACAATACTAATTTGGACCATGTTGAAGAGGCCGTACGTGAGGAAATGGATGGTCCTGGCCGATTGCTGGGTTACCGTGCTTTGCACAAAAAAGTATGGGAAGTATGCAATGATGGAGAATGTTGACTCTTCAGGACTGGAAGAAAGAGGAGGAGTTTGGCAGCCAAAGCGACCAGTTAGAGCAAAAAGATTTATATCAATGGTATAAAATAATAGCCTCTAAATCAAGTATTGCGTTTTTTGAATATTGTGCTAATTAGTTTTAGTTATCCTTGTAACCTAAAAATAAAAAGAACCCGTTTTTGTAATTTGTAGGGTTCAGACTATACCATGTCACTTGATGGTCACGACAAGATGTGTGGATATCAGAACTCCACATTCGATCTGTGCATATACGGTGGTCAAGATACTTACAGGGGTAAAATAATGTTTTTAAGAATTTGGACCACTAATAGTGACCCAAGAATTATTGGTCGTTTTTACTTAGAATACTTGCTTACCAGCAAAGGTAAGCAGCCCAAATTAATTGATTTTTAATACCTGTGGTGCTGATTGTAGGAAAGCTGATTGGCTTAACACTGCTTTATCCTGTGAATGTAAAATTCAAAGAAAATTTATCAACTGCATTTATATAATCATTGAAAATATTTTCCCCACAAAATCCACCATAAAATCAAGCAATGAAATATGCAACAACAAAATCTGCTTGACCTAGCAGTGCAAAAAACATTTTCCGTTTTGTTTCTACCTCAGCGAGCAGAAAATGATATTTTAATTTTTAAAGTGATGCACAGAATTTTTACATAAACCAAAACAGTGGGTTAATTTAAAACTACTTTAAACAACCAGCCCCACTGAGTCACTGACAGTACTCTGCCACTAACAAGTAAAATCGCTTATCTTATATGTTAACTTACTTAACTTAAACGGGTTCTTTTTATTTTTAGGTTACAAAGATAACTAAAACTAATTAGCACAATATTCAAAAAACGCAATACTTGATTTAGAGGCTATTATTTTATACCATTGATATAAATCTTTTTGCTCTAACTGGTCGCTTTGGCTGCCCAACTCCTCCTCTTTCTTCCAGTCCTGAAGAGTCAACATTCTCCATCATTGCATAAACTAGATTCAGTGGAACCTTAAGGCCATGTACTTCCCGTACTTTTTTGTGCAAAGCACGGTAACCCAGCAGTCGGCCAGGACCATCCATTTCCTCACGTACGGCCTCTTCAACATGGTCCAAATTAGTATTGTAGTCTATGTATGAAATGCCAAAGTGTTTTTTTTTAATCGACGGCAAAGAGTTCGCTGACTCCAAGCATATATATAGTGGATACTTTTCCTTTACAAAATCTAAAATTTCTTTTCTTTGTAAGTTACTTTCAACATATTTTTGTAAGTCGTCTTTAAGCTCAACGTCCCCTTGCCATCCCTGATCGGCCATTTTGTTTACGGTGCCCTGCGAGCCTGCGATCTCAAAATTATATGGACAGCAGTAATTGGCATGCATGGGCCGTTGGCACGCCTGGGCCACGACGTGTTTTTTTTTTTTTAAATGGCACACCTGGGCCAAGGGTATAAAATATTTTGCATTAAAATATTTTATAAATTAAAAAAAAACAAAGTTTAGAAATAAATTTTGTTTGGAAAAAAAATAAAATAAAAATATTTTTAAAAATATATATTTAAAAAAATAAAAAGATATCAAAATTTTCTATGGCACGCCTGGGCCACCATAGTATGACATCCTCTCTTAAATAGCTATTTATTTCCTATTCATAGAAACTTTAGAAAGTTGTGAGAATTGAGAAAGGGTAAAGGTGTATTTATTTCACTGGTCAAAATTTCCCCGTTTGAGTTAACTTTAAATTTTTCATTAGTTCATGGAAATTATATTTACAAAAATATTTATAGTCTTTGTGGAGGTAGGTATTTTGTCATTTTGACAAAACACCAATTTTTGATAAAACGCCACCGAAAATTCTCACTATTAGCGCGGTTTGACAGGCTGGTGCCTAGTTTTCTTACAACACGCGCAAAGCTTCCTGGAATAGCGTCACAATTCAGACCGTCATATTTTTAAATTTTTTGAGTTTAAATTTTCCGCCCGAGATACAGAGCTTTTATTAATGAAGATGACAGGTATTTTAAAGATTAAACATCAGGAATAACTGGGTAACATCCAGCTACCCAGCGGGCAAAATGACGTTTATCCCACGTTGAATCAACGTTGGAAATGACCTTCCAGACGTTGGATAGACGTTGAAAAAGGGTTGACTATGCAAATTGGATCGACGTTATTGTTTCGACGTTGAAACAACGTTGAAATTAGGTTGCCAATCTCGTCAACCATAATTCAACGTTGAATCCACGTTAAAACAACGTTGAGATTGGCTCACAAATCGACGTCGTACATTTAACCATGAATTCAACGTCTGTTGGCTGCTGTTGAACCAATGTTTGTAAAACAACGTCAGAGCAACGTAGATATTAGGTTGTCGACGTCGCACCCTTTTTTTACCAAATTTCAACGTTGAAACAACGTCGTGTGCCCGGTGGGAGGTACGAATTTTGTTATGTTTTTTACTATTAGAGCAATTTTGAAAGGAAATATTTATTATCTTCATTCGTAAATTTTGAGCATGTGTTCCTGCTTAAAATTTTAATTTGCTGCAGCAATATTTATAATTCACTGAAGGGCTTGAATCCGGGTTTTTCCATTAATTTAGTTTATTGTACGATCATCCAGATTAAATTTCTTTAATTATTTCTGACGTTTCGGCTACCTACACGGCGGCCATTATCAAAGACGTATTACAGTTACAAAAATTTTACAGTTATAATAATTTTATTTTATTTTTTACAGTTATAATAATTTGCCGCTATATGCCAGGAGCATACGCTGGACTAATCACGCATGAACGCAGGCTCGAATGCCTTGAACGCAGGCGCGAGCAAACAACATCACGAACACGCGCACGTCATTTTTGACGCAAGATAAAATTATTATAACTGTAAAATTTTTGTAACTGTAATACGTCTTTGATAATGGCCGCCGTGTAGGTAGCCGAAACGTCAGAAATAATTAAAGAAATTTAATCTGGATGATCGTACAATAAACTAAATTAATAGCAATATTTATATTAAAACGATCATATAAATACATTAGTTTTATAGCAAGGCTTACATTTGCCTCAGCCTTTATATCAAATTATGTTTATTGTAATGCCAAATAGTATATTTTGACCTTTGTGTATTAGTGTATGTGACAGATTGGCAGATTCCAGTGTTTCGTGTATAAAATAATACGGCTTGTCGTCTACTCAATTCTCATATGTTTCATGTTCAGGAAGTAGGAAGTAGTCCTGTACTGTATGAGTAGTAACTTCCTGCCTTCGCTGGAAACGTCGAAAATTTCTCATCTTTCTCAGGTAGTTCGCCTAAGCCTCAATAGTTTCTTCAATTATATTTATGGTATTATAGTAGGCGGGTTTTGTAGATTGAAATTATCGAGTGTAAATTTTATACATTTATTAGACCAAACCAGGGGCAGTTGCGAAAAATACAACTACATATATATGTAGGCCCTCTGGCACGAATCAAATCTGCGGCCCTGTGATTCGAATCCAGGGCGCAGGTTCGATTCCTGCAAAAGGGCCTATATACTTGCATTTTTCGCAACTGCTCTTGGTTAGGTCTTATAAATGTATAAAATTTACACTCGATAATTTCAATCTACCAAACACTTCTGCAATTAGTTTTATTGAGTGGGATGCCCAAAATGGTATATTCTAACTATTTTCCTACAACCTGCCCAAGAGCTGTGGAACTGAAAAATATATGGCTGTTACCTTATCTTGCCCTTCATCCCCTTTGTACGTTTTAAACTTCACGTCATCGTCAGAATAAGCAATAGTGTAACTTCCAACCCATTGATTTGCATCCGTACGGCCTTGTGTGAGAATCTCTGTAATTTTTGCTTTATATTTGAAATCAATTTGCAGCCATTGGTTGGTGTCTGATGGATAAGCAACCCAGCATTTATCCCATCGTAATCTGGCGTAACGAGCACGATGATTTTCAAAGTTCGGGTATTCACTCGAGGCTTTTAGTCTTGAATCTGGGATCTTTCCACTCTGCAGTCCTAACGCTTTAGGGTCTTTGCAAGCTGGAACGGAAAAATAACTTGAAATGAATGGTACATTTTTTGTGTGATTACCAAGTGAGACGAAGTAGTTATTATGTTACAAAAAATTGAAATACCATTTACCAAATAATGCAATTTTTACGAAACTGGAAACATTAAAATATCCTAAAATATACACTTTTGTGCACCGTACGACCTCCTAGCGTTTGTTTGGCGCATGCGTGATAATGTGGAAATTATATACATATATATATATTTTTCTTGCTTGGCAATTATCAGTTCCAACGGATGCATTTCGGCATAATGTTCTTCAATAACTCGTACTGAGTGTTGAGCAAAACTTTGAAATTATCTTAATAAAAATTCAAAAAAAATTACTATTTCACCCGCACCCCGATAATATAGCTATGCCTGCACTTAAATACTTGTCCAGTGGCCTGTGTCACAGATCTTACAAATAGTAAGGTCTATACTTAGAAATGCATGCATGCAACAACCCCTCGCCTAATTTCCCAAACATTGTTTCAACATGAAATATTCGTAATTGCGCGCGCCAACACTGAATGCAAACTCGCGTTTCTCACGTCATGTTAGTCATGGCAACACGATAATTGTTTTTTTAATTTTTTGTACAAACCCGCAAAAAATAGATGGAAGTTGAATACTTTTAAACACAGAACTATCAATTTATAAAACATATAAAGTAGGAATATCATTTTGTTTCATATCGGCTTTATTTTAATGCAAAATTCAAAACGAAACTCCACGTAAAAGTTTTTAAATGTGAATTGAAATTTACTGCTTTTTGCCGATATTAATATATTAACTCTTCAACTCGAGCTTCAACTTGTTACTCGCACTTTGAAATGAAATGAATTTAATTCGTACAGGACGCTACTGAAAATACTTTGTTTTATTTTTTATCATGATCTTCTACAAAAGTTAATTTAACTAAGAAACTTTCGCCCACAATGCATAGGAAAGACTTGAACAACAAGAACAAAGTCTATAATAATACAAAGTCATACATAGACAATTGAAACAAACTTGCCCTATAGGCTATACTTTAAGACTTCTCGTACTAAATTAATTCTTATAGATGTTTACGTTTAAAAATTAAAAAAAAGTTTTACAATTTGTTATGTGAAACGACTTTCCAAGCTTTCTTACATTGTATTTTTTATCAGTATTTTTCACTCCGAGCTTCACTCCTGGCAAAGAGCCATATTTTGAGATCAGTGAGATGACCACCCATACACCATGCGCCCTCGATATTTGCTGAACTTTAGACTTGGCTAGTGCGTTCCTTTCCCCCAGTGTAAATAGCCGGGCAGAATTAGTACCCTCGGATTAGTACCCTACGCCCGGAACGGCGCTTGCTCGGGGATGAACATTGGCGCGATGGCTTGTTCCATGCATAAATTAATTTAAATCCTCAGTGCTAGAATTTAAATCCCTGCTAGAACAATAAAAGCTATAAAAATTAGAACAATGCATAAACGATGCAATATTTTATTTATAGAATGAGTAATATACCAAAATATGTTCAAAATCGCATAAATTTCTATAGCGTGAACGAATTTATTATGCCAAATTTGAATAAATTTAATCCCAAAAACTGAGGATTTAAATTATGCATGACACAAGCAATCGCGCCATACAGTACTGTATGTTCACAGACCTTACTAATAATATTAAGATCTGTGATACAGGCTATAGACAAGTATTTAAAGCGCAGGAATAGTTATTAACGGATATAAAGTTATAAAGGTATAGCTATAAAAAATGTGCCTGAGTGATTCACATATTCACAGTGGAGTGACAATTAACCTGATACCGAGTTGTTACGTACTGATTTTTGTAATTGTTTTTTCTTCAGTAATGCGTAATCATCTACATGAATCTACTACTTTCATTTTCACTAGGCAAGCGCTTTCAAAAATATATCTGCCAGTGATACACATTATCATTTTAATAAACAAAATTACTGTAAGAAATGGCTGGAAATGCACTTCCAAGTTTATACTCTTTAAAATGTTCTGGGAACATGCCCTGTCGATCCCCCCGACATGAGAGTTGCTCAGTCTCAACAAATTTACTACATACTATTCGATCGTCCTGCGGTCCCTGGCAAATACACTCATATAGGTCCCTTTTCCTTGACCTCAATCCCCCCCCTCCTCCCGCAAACTGACGATTTTTTTAAAGGGGCAGTATGATCAAAATTTTTATTCTCTTAAACCAAAACTTAAACGAAAATGCTCGTAAAACTGTGTAATAACTTGTTTTGAAAATTTTTGTTCCCATGCTTAGTTCTTGAGATATTTCTTTTGTTTGTAACCATGTGACGTCATCTACTCAATTACATATATAATGAGATATCAGTAATTGTTGTGTATCTTTGCTATTTTTGATCGATTTGTTAAAAAACACAGTATGCTTAATGATGCAGGTTAAATTAACAAACGCGCCGCATCTTTCGAAATATTTTGATAAAAATAGCAAAGATACACAACAATTACTGATATCTCATTATATATGTAATTGAGTAGATGACGTCACATGGTTACAAATCTCAAGAACTAAGCATGGGGACAAAAATCATCAAAACAAGTTGTTATATACAGTTTTACGAGCACTTTCGTTTAAGAAAATAAAAATTTTGATCATACTGCCCCTTTAAAAAGGCCCTGATATGTTTTCAACATATTAAACGTTATTGAAAATGGAGATAACGTTGATTTACAAACCTCTTGGGAATAAGCAGCTTGCATTGTAGTCCTAAAGGTAAAAATTTTGTTATTATAATTCTCTTTTCTTTTCTTTTTAAAATCCCTCAATGCTGGATACAGGAGTTAAATTCAAGGCACCATGCTGGCGAGATTCCGAAACAGAATACCTTATCGTGAATATTTACTCAAGTAACAAAGTTTATAGGATTAACTACTATTTTTGATAAAAAATTTCAATCAATTTTTAGTAAAAATTTTGAGGAATTCAACAAGAGATTCTGCAAATTTACAACGCATGTCAAAAACTACAAAGAATTAGACATCAACATGACAGTTCCACTTTTTATTTTCCAAGTGTATATGCTGTATAAATACTACTTGTGGATAAGAAATAATTAATTAAATGAACCTCACCTTTTTCGAGCTTGTTAAATAAACGTGATCAAAAGAGGGGTTTGTTTCCAGTAATTTCTCAGATGTATTGTATACCAAATTATGTAGCATTTCACAAATTTGAGCATCGTGTGGACTTGATTTCTTTTGAATGTTGATTGATCTGCAACATGGTTCTTTGTCACATTCGATAAGGCAATCAATCCGTTGGGAAACGTGAATAGTCATGAAACGGTTCGTAATAAGTCTGGAACCTAAAGTATATGACGAAAGCAAGTATCAGTGCCAGCTCGATTAAAAGCAGTTGTCGATCTGCACGTACGGGGTAAACATCCTAAAGAGCGCCACTTAAAGATCATATGTGCAATGCCCTCTCTCAATGCATGCTCTCTACACAACTGTAGAAATGCGCAGTTCTGTGATGAATGCAGTTAAAATTATTTCCACAGTGCAATCAATGTTATATTGCAAGTGTCATTTTTCGTAATTAAACTACTGCCTCCATGCAGACACTATAACAGACATACTTGAGGGGAGGTGAGTCCGGGATTGGACGCACCGAGGGTTGCTGGACGTTTCCCGTTTTTATCGCATGTCATTTCGGTAAAAAGTAGAGAGAAATTTACGCATTTGAGTATATAATTTCTTGTTTTGATTATTGGATAGCCAACATACTACGCAAACAAACAACTTAGGCTTTAATTAAAGCTAAAAAAATTGTCTACATTATTCCCTTATTCTTGAAAAGAGAAAATGCACACCTTCTGCGAAAACATTGCCAAGATTTAGATAAACCTGCCCGTGCCGAACAAATTTCGGCGGCCATCTTTCTTCTCTTCCATTTTGAATACAGAATATTCCATTTTCATCAAACAAATTAAAAAAATAGCTATTATAATACAATTAATTAAAACCCAATTTATTTTTTATTAAATTATTATCTTCGTCTGACATTTGTTCAAATCGCTTCACAATGGTTGCCGCCGAAAGCATCGAAACATACGTCAGCATGGTGAGTTCGAAATTAAACGCATCCCTCGTAGCCAATAGGACAGCCGCTAATACGCTATAGGTATGAGATAATGTTTCGCGTGCATGGACACTTATAAACGAAGCCCAAAATTATGAGGGACTGTTCCCTTTGGAACAGTTACAGCCCCAATATGACGAATTTTCCCCGTTCGTACAATTATCTTTAATATTCAAAAGCGTTGGCTCCTACCTTTATATCTTTCATTGTAACAAAAGCTAGGCACGTATATTTTTTGGTCTTGCGCATGACTTCCCAGGAATATGAATGGAATAAAAAAGTACAACCAATGATATCTATGATGCATTGTAGCTTGTGTAATCAGGACCGTTCTAAAAAGAAATAACTCGCTAAATGAAATAGTTCATGTGCTTGCTAAGCCAGCCTTACAACTGCATTTACCGATATTATAGTGAAGAATTTGAAACTATAATCTTCCTTGAGGTGTTAATGATTCCTTATTTATTGCTTTATTATGAACAAAAAACTTTAAGACATTTACCCGCTGTGTTTTGATGAAATCCTGACTCCTGCCCCATCGCCTGCAACTTTCACAAAGTTCGTCCATGCTTTGATAGAGCAGGATTTCGGCGAAATCGCTTTGTGAAAGCCCAAATATTAAATTAACTATCCCTGGTTTAATATTGCGATTCTATTTTTTGTAGGAACACGACATATAGATTCATATTTTGATCTAATTTTGCATTAGATTAGGGAGAGTTGGTGTGTCGTACGTGTATACGTCTCGTAAAATGCAAAAATTGAAATCCAGTCCCCGAGCCAACGGCGCGAAGCGCCGTTCCGGACGTTAGCCCGGGGCGAGGGTACTAATTCCGTCCGGTTATTTACACCCGAGGAAAAGGAAACATTAGGGAAGTCAAAAGTTCATCAATGATCGCGGGCGTGGGTCACCAACCGTGGGTGGCCATCCCATCCTCACTGATGTCAAAAATATGGCTGTTTGCCAGGAGTAGGATAAACAAGATTTCAATTTTCAAAAGCATGTATTTGGAAAATCACGTTTCACACAATATGAGCTTTCAAGCAATTTTTGTTTGAAGAATTGAGAAGATTTGATTTACTGTGGAAAATCGTGGAAAATAGGGCAAGTTTGCTTTGAATGTTTAATGTTTATGAATTTTGTTGACTGTGCTTTAATTTATTGAGAAAAACATGCCCTGCTTTCTTTTCCAACCAAGCTGTATTAAAGTTTGCTAAATTACCCTGTTTAATTTAAGAAAAAAGGTAAAATGTAAAGGAGAGCAAATTAATTTGAAAACCGAACTGAAATTACTAAACAATTTGAACTTATTTTGTTTTATAAAGTAAAAACAGTTTATCGAAAAGAGCAGTTTATAGTTTAATACTAAAATGAACCTTTCAAAACATTTTACGAAGCGATTCAGGTTAAATTTTACATTAAATCAAAGCTCACAAAATGCCGCAGAACAACATACCTACAGTACATATTTCGGAAATTCACTGTTATATAGTTAAAAGCAATAATCTTTCAACTATTTTTGGCGTGTTGTACAAAACTGATATAATAAAACTCAAATTTATCGTGTTGCCATGGCAACACCACAGGCAACACTGACGTAAACGCAAGCCTGCGTTCAGTGTTGATCAATTACTAATACTTCATGTTAAATCAATGCTTGGAAAATACATGCGAGGGGATGCTGCATGCATGTATTTCTAGTACAGATATAACATTGCTAGCAAAACTGTCGAACGAAATAACTTTGGAGAATTTTCCTTTAACAGTTAACTGGATGTTAACAATTTAATGACAATGCAACTTGATGGGCCCTAGCTGTTTTTTTACTTTATTTTTTGAATTTGTCCAACGCCGGATATAGAGTGCTTTCACCCAACGAGTTAATGGCAGTACTCTGCCATTGTCCCTGGTGTATACCTTCCTGTCGAAACATTTCGAATGTTTACATGAAAATAGAGACAAGTCATGCATTTTACAACCTCGTAAACTGTATGAGTTCCTATTTTTACGCTTAAACCTAAGATATCAAATAAATATACATGAAACAAAGTTTTATCGTGAGCCAACGGCCAGTTTATAAAATATCTTTATTTCTGTTCCGGTCATCACCAAAATTACACTGAACCCGGGCTTGAATATACAACACATTTTGAATCTCATCAAATACAAAAATATTTAACGTATAACCAAAATATGCTCATAAAATCGAAATTAATAGCTAAATTTTCAAACCAGACACTTCTCAAAGCGGTTTCTATGAAGGAAGTTCACATTTCGGGCCTTTGATTCTTGGCAAAAATTTGACCACAACACGTGCGAAGCCTCTGGGTCTCAAAGGCTAAGCTAAAACATTGTGAGCCCCTATTTTCCTGACGATAAGTTTGATTCCTACAAACGCCGATAAGTTTTTTCTTTTCATTTATAGCTATATTTGAAGTTGAGGCCACTGGCTCTTTTTAAGAAAATACAGTTCAAAGACAAGCTATTTTTACATATTTTCAAAATTTGTCAAATTTCGCGAGATTGTATTTTGAAATTAGACCGATGAAGTTACATTAAGAAATATAGGATGGAAAATTTGAAGCATATAAAATTGATTTCATCTCACATTTCATTCTCATATCACGATTTTCTTCGTTTATTACGGTTTTAAACAAGCCATAGCTCGACGTACACGGTATTTGCTCCCATGTTCACGTCGCCATGTTCACTTCTTCCAATCACTCGATTAGTCGATTACAAAACAAATCATCCCAAAACAAAGAATTCATGATCGATTTTTAAAAGGATAACCGTTAATTTGAGAATCGTTTGAATTAAAGCAAAAAATCGTCAGCTAAAACAGCTTTTTGCTAACTTTCTCCTTTTTTTGAATGTAAATGCAATGGAGTTTTGTTTCTGCCCGCGATTTTTTGGCCAGCGACGACAAATTTCCCACCTGTTAGCTGGCTTGTTAATTTATATTGTTATATAGCTAGGTTGAACACCAAACGTGATTGGCTGATTTGTGGTCACGTGACTTCAGATATATGTAATATTTCCCGCCGGGCAACAAGTGCAAAATTGTTACCAGACCCGACCGGCTACGTACAACGGCGGCACAACTAGCACAAGTAGAAACTACGATTTTCCACGTATGTGTTCCAATAAAGAAAGTAAAGAGAAGAAAAATACACAACAGGCAACAGCATATATGCTCCTGAAACCGTTTAAGTAGGTTGTTTTAATTTTAAACTCGTTTACACTATATAGAGTTTTAGTCACGAAATACAATTGTTGTATGAATGTTGTTGAATGTTGATTTTTGTTCGATACTATATAACAAAGCGCTTAATTAATGTCTGTTCCCTCGGGAAATAGTTATAGTCGGAAAAAACTTACGTTATCGTGGAACAATTCCATTTTGCCTTCATATTGTGCCCTGAAGGCTAGTTGGTATTAAACTCTATGTATTGCAGTTAAAAATGTGAAATTTCAAATAATTTTCTAACACAAATGACTTAAATCATTTGAAAGCTTGCAAAAAACTACTTATAAGACATTTAAAAGGTTACCCGTGATTTTCAAGTTCTTCTTGAGTTATGGGCTATTGAATGCGTGTTTTCGGACTAGTACCCAGGAATTTTGCAAGATTTTGGCTTATTTTTCACATTTGAAACGGCAATAACTCGAAAACGCTTGACAATCCCAAATAAACATTTAAATGTTTCATATGTAGTTTTTTGTTAACTTTCTATTGATTCAAGTTATTTGTATTAGAAATGTATCAGAAATTTCACATTTGTTTACTGTAATAGAGTTTAATACAAAATTCGAAGAAAACCGTGTCGGCAGGAGCCCACAAGAAATTTTAACGCGGCCAACATACAGAAACGTAATTATTAGCCTTCAGGGCACAATATGAATGCAAAATGGAATTGTCCCACGATATGGTAAGTTTTCAGTCCATATATTTGATCCTCTATCTGCCTGACTATATTAGTTTTGTTTTCCCTCGAATCTCAACTTGACTTCGTCTCGGGAAACATTGAGACTCTCGGTAAAACAAAACAAACTATTTCCATCGGAAGCAGACATTAAGTGCAGTATATAATTATTTTCTAAACGCAATTAATGAAATGCATAAATTGAAATTAAACTATTTCCCAAGAGATTTTGACAATATAATATCTATCAACTGTGAGTTTTCTTCAAAACGTTAACCGTTATTTCAAAATATTGACCGAATATTTGCCGTGCATATGCGTATAGCCTACTTTGTTACTTGCTTCGTGTTGTTGCCGATGCAGGGGGAAGCGAAGTCTACTTGATGAACTTGAATATTTTAGAGAATATGGAATATTATTTTCAATCGGAAATTAATAATAATTTGGCGCAGAATAGTTTACAAAGCTGAGCTTATACAAGTTATATAGGCATGTTTCAAACGCTGGAACACGGGAAACGCGACGATTGCACCAGACCTGATTTATCTGGAATCTGGAATTTCAGCAGGCTGTCGCCGATATACAGGGTGTATCAAAAAAAGCGCAATCCTCGACTGAAATGTAAATTGCTAAACAAATAATGGACGAAAACGTTGACGTTTACATTCATTTTAAAGCATAGCCATTCAGCTTTCTAACAGTGGGTTGTTTCTTAAATTTGACTCATTGGTTCGCGGTTAATAATACTTTACGTTATTGCGATTGGAGATTAAAAAAATTGAGATGGAATAACAAATCGTTCTCATGAAAATAACTGATTTTTTCATTAAAACAAAAATGTTGCATTTTATTAAATGGATTGTAACAATAAGTATAATTACGGCTTTTCTTCCGCTATTTTTAACTCAGTTTGAAACTTCAAATGCGATATAATTTTGGCTTGGACCATCTAAGCTGACTGACATCAACTTGCTATAATTTCTGTTTACATTACATCGCAATTCGATGACACTCTGGCTCAGATACCAGAATGTTTTGACGATTTTTAGCATTCGTTTAGGATTTTCAAACAACATAGTCTTTTTTAAAATACTTTTAATTTGTTCTTACGTGGTTTTCCAGATGTAGTGACGACAACATTAAAGTTTAAAGAAGAAAAATTCTAACATTTAAACCGACTAAACAATAACATAGTAAACTTGCATAATTAAACAGCAACTAAAAATGATAGGTTTTACTAAATCTTTTCTTGTGCAATTATTACTAGCATTGGAGACAAGGATAATAGTTTGTTTGAAAGAGAAAAGAACAGGCTTTGAAGTAAGCCTAAAAGCGCTTAACTAGAAATAGTATTTCGAAAGTTATTAAGCACAAAAGATGAATTGCGTTTATTTTGATACACCCTGTAGACGTATGCTGAAATGCACTATAGTGATCCCTTGCTAACTTAATTGTTTGCAGCGTATAGTTTGTGTTCCGCGCCACGGGTAGGCTGTATATACTGCTGTTTCTACCGCTGTGAAACAACAATGACCAATTGATTGTATTACTCCCTATATTATAAACATGCACCGCTACTATCACGGTCAGTATGGCTTGATATATTTAATATACACGAAAGTTTACGAGTATTATGAGTTTATCTCATAGCCAATAGAAAACATCAGTCATATGAATGAGTGCGACTCTGTCGTTCAATTAATGAGGCTCTTAGTGCGTTTTCGTGCTACGGTGCAGGTTAACTATATTGAAACCTTCACGAATGATATTCGTTCTATCAATGTTTGGAACTACGGCCTAACTAACTTTAATAATGCCGGATAAATCTTTCTTGACGTTCCGAAGGCATTCGTCGCTGAGGCATTAGGTAGAAGCAAACATCCAAATTGACTGCATAATGAGACTATTCTATACTGTCTTGGTTTAGATCAAAATTATATACTCAAAATTATACAAATACTAGTTATTCTACCGAATGAAGACCTTAGCCAGATGGTTAATAATTTCCGACGGAATAGCCTGACAAACATTTCTCGCTCGAAATGAATGGACATTTTTTAAATTTGAGACGTTACAGATGTTTATAAATAATTATATAATATATTTACATCTTCTTCTAGCGTTTAGTCAAACCACTGAGACAAAAATTAATAAATGTAACTAAAAACGCGGAACAAATATATAGATTTGAAATGAACTCAGAAAAACTTACCAAAAATGAATTGTACAGTTCCAAAGCATCTACTAAGCATTCAACAGATGGACAACAATCCGGTATAATTTAGCATGAATGTTGTGCAGAAAAAATAAATGTTCTTTAAATTGCCTTTTCTTAATTAAATATTCATGTTCATTATTGTATACTATTGAAAATAAAATTTAAAAAAGTGTTTGGCATAACATACTGTACTACTTCCCAGATGAATCTTTTTGATGAATCGTGATCCAAGATATTCCCGAACAATTTTCATAGAGATGAAAGACTTTGCTGACGAAATTCTTCTGAGCTGCAATTTTATGAACTTGGTAATGCCGTGTTAAAAATTTTCCTGCATTTTAGCATATTTTAATCGTAATAGTTTTAAGTGCTTGTTAAATTTGGCATCTTCATATCTGTCTATTTTAGAAGTCTGCAGGTGTTAACGCTTTGCGATCAAAACAGTTTTCCTACTGCATTCATGCATGCATGCATCTACTTTACTTTCATTCATTTCTATTTTAGTTTTGACTTTATACGAAATAATGTTTATTACTATTTTGATGATTCCAAGATTGAGCTATCACGTCCATATTTAAAGAAGCAAATATTGAAATACACTCCATGAGAGTATTCTACAAGAACCTGTCTTGGTTTAGATCAAAGATTATACTCAGAATTGATACAAATGCTATAGTCATACTGCCGAATAAAGACTTTAGCAAGATGGTTAATTAAACTAACAAAGACGCCTTGAATTCATTTAAACGTTTGGGAATTCATTTTAACCAGTCACTATAGTTTTTTGACCAATTCAATGCCAAAATTTCTCGCAGCATTGTGGGTCAAAGTTCACAAAAGTTGGCAGATTCGGTTTCTAAATTTTAAATGGCATGTCCCAAGAGCCAAAATTTAACAACTACTTTAATTAAAGCCGCCTTCGCATCAAGATGAGGAAAACCAGCCGAAAAGTTTATACACATATCCAATCTGTTTAATTGAAACCTTGAAGAAAGATATTCGTTCTATCAATGTTTGGAAGTACGGCCCATCTAACTTTATAGTGCTGAATACATATTTCTTGACGTTCCCAAGGCACTCGTCGTTGAGGCATTAGGCACATGCACAGAAGCATGCATCCACTAAATCGACTGCATGACACCATTCTACAAGAATTAACCCGTCTTGCTTTAGGTCAAAGTTGCACTTTATACAAATACTATATAGTTATATATACCGCCGAATAAATACCTTAGCCAGATGGTTAATAATTAACGACGAAATTGCCTGACGAACATTTTCTCGCTCGATATATACAACTATTTCAATTAAGGTTGTCCTTGAGCGAAGCGGAAAAGTCGAATACGAGCGCGAAAGGCTGCCGGGAATCGCTAAGAATTTAATGATTTTTTAGCGATTCCCAGCAGCTTTTCGCGCTCGTATTCGACTTCTCCGCTTTACTCGGGGACAACCTTAATTGAAATAGCTGTATATCAAACAACGGCAAGTGTGGACAGCTGTTTCGCCCTTTTGAGGGCTCATCAGCACAGTGCAACCGATGATGAGCTTCCACATCCGACGAGTATATACCAGCAGGTAAATAACATTTGATTTTAAAAAAATGTCATTTGAATCGCAATATATCCGTGCTAGAAGTATGGTACCTCTTATTTAAAGTAACTATAACGACGTTTCATTCTTCTTCTAGCGTTTTGTCAAACCATTGAGATAAAAAATAAGTAGGTGTAACTAAAAATGAAGAACAAATATAATAATTTCAAATTGACTTGGAAAAACGTACCAAAAATGAATTCTCAAGTTCTCATGAAAGTTCCAGCATTCAGCAGATGTACAACTATTCAGTAATCCAGCTTAAATGTTGTGCGGCCAAATAAATGTTCTATTTAAATTGCCTTTTTTCAATTAAATATTCATGCTCATTATAGACACATAAACGTTGTTGTATATACTTTGAAAATAAATAGGATCTCAGCAGGCAAAATGGCATTTATTCAACGTTGAATCAATGTCGGAAATGACCTTCCAGACGTTGGATAGACGTTGAAAAAGGATTAAAATGCAAGTTGGATCGGCGTTGCTGTTTGGTCGTTGAAACAACGTTGAGATTAGGTTGCCAATCTCGTCAACCATAATTCAACATTGAATCCACGTTGAAGCAACGTTGAGATTACTTCACAAATCGACGTCGAGTCGTACATTCAACCATGAATGAACGTTGATTCAACGTCTGTTGGCTGCTGTTGAACCAACGTTTGTAAAACAACGTCAGAGCAACGTAGATATTAGGTTGTCGACGTCGCAACCCTTTTTCTACAAAATGTCAACGTTGAAACAACGTCGTGTCCCCGTTGGGGTATACATGGATCTTTTTGAAGAATTGTGATTCAAACGATTGCGAACAATTTTCATGGAGCTTACGACTTTGCTCATGGAAATTATTATTATTATTTAAAAATATTTATACACGGTAGCTTTTCACTTGCGTGATTCTCAAAGGGTCGTGTGTTTTAAAAAAAATAATTACAACATTTAAAAGACATTGCATTACAAACTATTACAAAGTTTCATAATAATTATTAAGTAAGCCAGTTAAGCTATACAAAGGGAAGACATAGATTGGGATTCGTCTACCACTCGTAAAAATTCAGAGGGTAGACTATTCCACGCAACAGCCCCACGGTAGGAGAAGCTTCTTTTTAACAAGCATACGATCGTACTATATAGTGGACCAGGAACTGCGTGACCCAGTTTCGATCTTTTGCAAATCGTTAAACGTCCAAAAGCTTCGAGATTTTGACTTGATAAACAAATAATTGGACACTTATGAAACAAATGATTCTCGAAATTGGCAGCGTCAAGGCATTTTAGAGTGGTGGGGCATTTTCACCACTGGGCCCCTTCCTCTGCCCCACCACTGAAGAAAAAAATGGCCTATTGCCCCAAAGCCAGGGCCCTAGGACTTGTATTGAGTACATGAGTTTAACATTGAAAAGAAGTTTAAAAAAACAAAATTGTTGGTGAGCATACTTAAACTTATGTTGTGTTTGAATATTTAGCATGCAATTTATTACAAATCTCACCAATAAAACTTTGTTGTGAGAATTTGGGATTTTTTAAACTAATATGTTCTCAGAATACAGGAAATTCTATTTCAGGGACCCAAATTTAAAAAATTTCCTGGGAGCATGCCCCCAGCTTTAACCGCCTAGCTAACTCGTGCCTGCGGTACTTTTCCGCAAAAAGTCGGACGCCTCATTGATCCGCGTTCAGGTCTCCGCGCGTTATCGATCGATCCCTTCGTGCCCTACGTACCCTACGGCCACGTGTAGAAACATGGACGATTTGCTTCGTGATGGCAGAGCAAATTGACAAACTTGTTTTTCTGGTTCCGAAAATACTCGAGAACTGTTATTGCGAGTTAAAACTATTTATATTTAATCCCAATTGAAGAGAGGACATATTGCAGAATACCCGTCCACTAGTAATATCATATCATGTAGCGCGGCCACTATTTCACTGGATACTTATTTACTAGAATCCAGATCTTATTGTCTCGTTACACTGACCTGAAAGATCAACTTTCTTAGATCCCCAATTTTCTGTTTTCTTTTGTTTTCTTCGTCGTCGAGAGATCGAGCTGGCATTAGCGCATCGCAGGCTCAGGGTGCAACGATTAAGCCAAAATGTCATCGATTCCTCGATTTAAAATTTATAGTAACAAGTTCGTGTTTATGTACGTATAACAGCAGACTCATGCCATGCTTGCATGTGCTACATTTTTCATTTATTAGCCCAGTTTACTGATTAGCCCATACACGTTTACGCAAGCGCACAATTCTGAACTCCAAGGGTAGAGTGTTCCAGTGACATATTCAGTTCAGTTTCAAAATGGCAGCTTTTCACTGACTGATCTACATGTACATATTCCACGCAGTTTCGTTGAATTTTCAAAGAATTGTGCCGGTTTCCTATGGATTTTACGTTGTGTCACACTCTAGAATTTCTTGCTTGTTGAATTAATATTAATGTGTTTTTCTTTGTGTAACGACTCGAAAACCGCAGAATATGGCCCAGCGAATTTATACAATATAGTGGAATATAAACATAGTGCTTAAAGATTTGACAGTTTGATCACATAACATTTGATTTTTTTTTCTGTGTTGGTGTTATAACATAGTTTTAATAAACAACTGTAAATTTACATTGTAGACTCATAAACATCCGTTGTGTACTTGTGTTCATTTGCATAATTATAGATTTGGAGCGTAGGTCTCCCGAAAAAGTCTTTTTTTAAAAAAATCCTTACACTGAATTCGCTTGCGGTTCAGGATTTGTATTCTTGTCTATTGGCTAGACTGTATTCCACCATAGCACGTATGTGGTCATTTTTAGGTCAGTGTGAAGACCTGATCAGCCGTCTTGTTCTAATTTTTAAACAATATTTTGAAATTACCGATTCTGCGCGCAAGACACAATCCGAAGCGCATCGAAGAAGAGTATCCGCTGAATGTTTTGTTTAAGGGCGCGGGTCAATGATGCGTCCGACTATCAATGAGGAGACGGAAAAGAAATTTGCTTCGGCTAGCGAATACTATGATGAAGGGACGGCAAGGAAAATGGGCCGTTTGGCAGTTTGGCCCCAGTTTTGGTGTGGTTCTATATGTTCGCCAAAACATATCATTCTCAGATAGAATAGATCTAATCCCTGATGAACTTGAGATGGTCTGCATTGAATTAAGTTTACCCTACAATAAATCACTGCTAATAAGCACATGGTATAGACCACCAAATTCTCTTATGAATAAATTTGATTACTGGGCAAGCTTTTTAGCAAAATGTGATAATGAAGATAAGGAGCTAATCCTCATAGGAGATCTAAATTGTGATGTCAGTAAAACTATACCTGACCCTCACACATGTAAGTTGCAATTTTTATGTTCTCTGTATCAGATAGACCAACTTATTAAAGAATCTACAAGGCTAACTCCTAAATCAGCTACACTAATTGATTTAATATTAACAAATAGACCAGAAAATATTTCCAGATCAGGTGTCATTCACCTGGGAATTTCAGATCACAGCCTTGTCTACGCTGTGAGAAAATTTACACTACCGAATGGAAGGCAAAAAATTCGTCAGGTTCGTAACTTTAAAAACTTTGTCGAAAATGATTTCATTCGGGATGTGTCTCAATTGCCTTGGGAGATGGTCTATCAGTTTGGAGATCCCAATTTATGTTGGCAAGTCTGGAAATCACTATTATTAGATGCACTTAATAGACATGCCCCTCTGCGCCACAAGCGAATAAGGAATAACCCTGTCCCATGGATTAATCCTCAAATTAAAGAACTTATGAGAAAAAGGGACTATCACAAAAAAAAGGCCATAAAATATGATTCGGAGTCACAGTGGGAATTGTATAAAACACTACGTAATGAAGTAAATATAAACATGCGGAAAGCAAAATCTAAGTACTTTTGTGATAAAATCCAGGCAAGCTCTCAAATGGGAGACAGTAAAAGTGGATGGGCTTGGATAAATTCGCTCTTAGGAAGAAAGCATAAGAATGCAAATATTAATGAACTGAAAGTAAATGATGATATTATTTCTGATGATAAATCTATTACTGAAACATTAAATGAATATTTTATAAATATTGGAATGAAGATGGCTGCTGAATCAGCATGTCAAAGCACTGATGCTTTAAATGATCAAGTAATTTATGAAAGTACTGTGCTTCTTCCTAAAGAAAATTTTCACTTCGCAGATATTACTATAGATAGTGTTTCCAAACGCCTACAAAAACTAAATGTCTCAAAAGCGACAGGTATGGATGGAATACCTGCGAATATTTTAAAACTGACATCAACCCTTATTGCTCCATCTATAACTTTTATATTTAACCTATCGATTAGAACTGGTATTTATATAGATGAGTGGAAATTGGCTAGAGTTATACCAATTTACAAATCTGAGGATAAGCGTAAATGCGAAAATTATAGACCAATTTCAATTCTTCCCATAATAAGTAAAATATTTGAAGGGGAAGTTTTTACTCAAATATATAGCTTTTTGAATAAACATGCGCTTCTGTCTAAATTTCAATCCGGGTTTAGACCAAAACATGGAACCTTAGGTGCTCTTATACAAATGTGTGATCAATGGCTACAAGACATGGATGAAGGCAAAATAAATGGAGTTGTTTTTCTTGATATATGTAAAGCATTTGACTCGGTGAATCACGAGATATTATTGGAGAAGCTTAAAACCCAGTTTGGAATTCACGACATTGAATTAAAATGGTTCCAATCATACTTAAGGAATAGAAAGCAAGTGTGTTCTGTTAATGATCAAACTTCTTCTGCAAGAACAATAATATGCGGAATTCCGCAAGGATCCATACTTGGTCCATTATTGTTTTTGCTATATATTAATGATATGCCTGATATTCTAGAAAGGACAACCCCATGTCTTTATGCCGACGACACTCAGATATCTTCCTCTTCGCATGATTACGATACATTGATTGACAATTTGAATATG